TGACATACCTGCTGAGCGATCGGTCTGATGGCGCTGGCAGAGAGTGGCGGGCTGCAATTTACCAGGTCGTACAGATTAATGTCCAGCATCTCGAATGCCAGACAGCACTGTCCCACGTGGTCAAATCTCTCAATGAACCGGACCAAGTTGGAACTTTCAGGATCCAGGACTGAGAGCCTCTCTAAGGTGGAGATCTGAGGAGGAAAGAGGAGACAGCACAAACGCTCAGAAAACTGTACCACCTCATGACATCTTCAACTCTGTACTTATTTATCATCTAAAACATCCGTCTGAAGCACCAAATATTCTCCATTCTTGCCTTAAATTCATCAGTTTTTAGTCAAAATGAATCAGGAAAAGAAAAATTCTAGAGCAAATGATTCACAAACAACATCCAATATCTCCCACTTCAAATAAAACAGATACTCTAAATACAGCATTTTACACTGTGTACATGTCTAAATTACTAGGAGAGCATGATGCATAAAGTTGACAAGATTGACAAAGGACTAAATCAATTCAGACTGTAAAGAATTGGACATAGTTTTACATGATTTTACTGTAAAATGAATGAATGAATGAATGAATGGTTTTATTTTTGGTCACAATAACAACAAATGAGAAACAAACAGAATTATAAACTTGACCAAAAAAAGGATTAGGCGGAAAGCACAATGCTTATAGTTGCCTATCCTTTACAATCCTTATAACATCATTTTAATATTTAAAACAGTTGATAATGTTGAAATAAGATAAAAAAAGAAAGACACTTTAATATTAAAAAGAAAACATTAAAATAATATGTTGCACTACGAAAGGGAAAAAAAAATCATAATGAATGAAAGAAAATGTCTTACTCAAAGCTGTATGTACTCCTGAATTATTTTGCTTTTTAATGCTTTTTTAAATATTACCTGAGAGTTACACAATTTTAACCCATCGTTAAGGTTATTCCATTGCTTAACTCCCCAAACTGAAACACATCTAGCTTTCACATTTGTTCTTGCATTTTTATCTGTTTTAAAAATATAAACCCCTCTTAAATTGTACCGTCCTTCCCTTGTTTTAAAAAGACGTAGAATACAACCTGGGAGGCTTTTACTCTTAGCCCGAAAAACAATTTCCAAAGTTTTGGTGTACACCATGTCTACAAATTTTAATGTATTAGACTTAATGAACAATGGATTGGTTGATTCAAGGTAACTGGCTTTATTTATTATTCTAATAGCTTTTTTCTGTAATTTAATGATTGGGTCTATATTTGTTTTATATACATTCCCCCATACCTCAACACAGTATGACAGATATGGCACTACAAGTGAAAAATACAAAATATGCAAACATATTCAACAGCTCCCTTGTTCTATACAAAATACCCACAGATTTGGCTAATTTACCTTTAATATATTGAATATGTGGTTTCCAACAGAGTTTATGATCCATAATAATACCCAAGAACTTTGTTTCATATGCTCTTTCTATTTCTGTTTCATTTATGTTCAGTTTAATTTCACAGTCAGAAGGAACACCACCAAATACCATGAATTTGGTTTTCTTTTCATTGAGTGACAACTTATTTCTATCAAACCATTGTTTTAACTTGATCAGTTCCCTTTCAACTGTTATCATTAATTCTTGTATGTCGTCCCCTGAGCAAAGTAAATTAGTATCGTCAGCAAACGTAACAAATTTAAAAATATGAGAATCAGCTGCACAATCAAAGATAAACTTATAGGCTGAACTTTATGTTCATGTTGAAGTATCAGTAATAGTTTGATTGCACTTCTTCCTTTATTTTTTTAAATATCAGCAGAAATATTCATAAAAAATAAAAAAAAAAGTCAGATTTGATGTGCCACACAAAGGTCTGATGAGTCATGTCTTCTGTCCCCTAGTGGATTATGTTTGTACTGCATGTATCTGGTTAAGTTTAACAGGTGTCTTTGAAAAGTCTGACCTCAGTGAGGATGCTGAAGTCTAAAAATGTGTGTATTATTTAAGCAGATCAAACTCTGCAGAATCAAATGAGTCATAAAGTCTACCTCTTTCTTAGTAGCATGGATGCCTCCAGGGGTCTCCTTGCAGATCTTGATGGCCACTGTCTCCCTGGTCCAAATGTTCAGGCACTTGGCCACTTTTCCAAAGCAGCCCTCACCAATGAACTCCAAGACGGAGTAGGCAGACAAGCTGCTTGAAAGGGTGTCGCCTCTCTGCACCTCAGTGGACATTTCCATACTGTAAGCTCTTCCTCCTCTCACAGACTTCAACGATATTAAAAATCCGATCAAACAAAAGTGAACTCTAAACAAAGCTCTCAATAAAAGTAAACAATAAATATCTCTCCTCTACAAAATTGCTCTTCTTCTCTTAACAGCGGTGAACGATCAAAATCTCTCTCTTCTCGCAAATGTGTGCTGCTCGCTATCAATGCTGATGGTGAACAGAGTGAAAGTCCAGCAGAAAATTCAACTTATAGTATTCAGCCGTTGTGATGGTGATTTAAACATTGTTGTGATTCGAATCAGCTCCTCAGTCCTGCTTCTGTCAGACTGAAGACAAGAGTTCTCTGCACTTTTGACTGAAGATTTACTGACATTTTAGATCCATACAGTCAGACAGCGCAGTCACAGGAACTCTGTCCGAGTGTGTTTGATGGAAAAAGTCATCATCAGCTCATTTTAAAGGGTTTCTAGTGCTCTCTGTTTCATTTAAAGACCCTTTATTTCCAATAATAATAATAATAATAATCTATCACTAAGCAACATTCTTACCACAAAACAAAACAAAACAAAACAAAACAAAACAAAACAAAACAAAACAAAACAAAACAACAGAACTTAGTTTCAAATTGACTTATCAGTCACTGAACTATACTGTAGTCATACCATGAAGTAAACAAAACAAGCATAATAATAAATATCAGTAAAAGACAGCATTTCAAGCTGACATTTCTACAAGAATAATTGGTTACTTTTGTCATAATTTCTAATTGCATTTTCCTTTAACATTTTCTTGCTTTGTAAAATATTTGTACAGGTCTTCAATTCATTACTTTGACAGTTCCATGGTTTAACTCCCACTACAGAGATTCAACTCAACTTTATTTATAGAGCACTTTAATTACAAACAAAGCTGACACAAAGTGCTGTACATAACATAAAAACATTAAGTCGGGTCACGAAGGGAGATTCTGTGACCATCCTTTGGCAAGGATGTTTTGACGATTGATTTGACCTCTATGGACCCTTTAGTAAAGAGGGTCGCAAAAATCCCGGCATTTTTTGCTTGACAGCCAAATTCAAAATGGCGCCTGGCGCCATGCCTAAAAATTAACTTTTGATCTGGATGACCTAGAATCATGTATGAAGGCACTTTTCTATACAAGTCATCCATGAGGATTCCAAATCTGACACAATTTTAATTGTAAGACCTCATTTTGACACCGAAACTCAAGATGGCCGACATCCAGTAGAGTAAAAACTTAGCTTTAGTTTATAAATTTTCAGCCAGTCTGGCTATTTCTGATTGGTTTAGTAACAAGAAGATGTTCTCTAGGTTGTGCCACTGCCAGATAGCCAGATAGCTGGCGGGGCTGCCCCCTTAGGGACTGCTGGCCTGCCCTGAACCATTCTTCGTCAGGCCCCTCACCAGAGACCAGTTTGTCATGGGAGACCCTACCAGGAGCACACAGCTCCAGACAACAAAGCTCTCAGGGTCGTAGGTACGCACAAACCCCTCCACCACGGTAAGGTGATGGTTCCTGGAGAGGGTTTTTTTTTTTTCTAAAAAAAAAGAGAAAAAAAACAGAGATAATTTTAAAATGACATAAAAGAAACATTAAGAACTTTGATTAAAATTAACATTTGCAGTAAGAGAAATATGAAAAGGCAATCAGTGAAAAGCCTGGTTAACAAAGTGAGTCTTGAGCCTCTTCTTAAAAACATCAACAGTCTCTGCGGCTCTGAGGCTCTTTGGCAGACTGTTCCACAACCAGCAACCACCCCGTGTGTTTTTGTTTTGACTTTGGGTAAGGTTATAAGGCCTGTGCTGGAGGACCTCAGGGTCTGCGAGGGTTGATATAGTAAAAGTAAGTCAGATAAATAAGAGGGGCCAAGACCATTAATACATCTAAAAACTAATAAAAGAACCTTAAAATCAGTCCTGAAACGAACGGGGAGCCAATGCTGCATGAACAGCTGACAGGAAGGGCGGCAAGCAAACAACAGCACCAAGACTCGGGATTTTTAGGGGTTCTCATTTAGGACCCCAGCTATTTGTTTATGTGCTGCTTATTCTCTTTTCTATTGTTTATTATTAAGGTTTTATTGCACTAGTAAAGACAAATGATCAGGGGTCAAAACTAGTCATTTTCCAGACAAATCTTTGTTCAATAACAGTCATATAGGCCAAAAATGTGTTTCAGTTTTGGCGTCTCGGGGCCCTGTAGCAGGTTCATGCTCATGCTGTTTCAATCAGTGGGGCTGCCTTGTTGCCAGAATGTAAGAAAATGCTTTCTTATTGCCCACTAGATGTCAGGCTGCTGCTAACAACTGCAGTAAACATGACCTGTCAGAAATGCAACGTGCAAACTCTTCTTATGAGTTTTGTAAGATCTTCTTTCTGATCTTGAATCTATGGGGTCTTAATCAATAGTGATAATTATTGTAGTGCAAAATGTTGCAGCTGTAAACAATGGGGCTTATTTTTATTACATGAAGTAGCACATGATAGCTTTGTAAAGCAGCCTGCATTATATTTTTTTCGTTTATTATAATAAGTATCAATATTCTGAGTCCGTAAAGTAACCAGCCTCTGCCTTAAACTTTGTGTATATGATCTCCAGTTCAAATTACCTCTCTGAAGCTCTTATTTTCCCCTCCATTGGCTCTGATGACTCGCACAGATGGCAAATAGACTTGTGAGGATGTCGAGTCCTGCTGGATTACGTAATGAAGACGTCTTTGAGAGGAGGATGCAGGAATGAAGGACTGCTTCCCTCCAAAGATCTGGCACGTCGTCCCCCACTCTGACCTAGACCAACCACATACCGAACATATCTGGCTCAACAAGCTCCTCACACAAAGTGGACAATGCTGAAGAACATTTCTCAGGGATTGGTACCGGCACGAGGCAGAATAAGTCATGATGACTTCATCTTGGTCACGAAGCTGAGAGAAAAAGAAAGAAAGAGGGAAACTTTGCTGTATTTTGGTGGCACAATGAGTTTTCCACATATCTTTTCAACACCACCACCAAATTTAAAAAAACCTGCTGTCAAAATCCATCTCAGAGAGTTTCCATTACTCACCATTGTGCGGTTGGTCGGGCTCTGCAATTAATTCAGAGATGAAACAGAATACCTTTGTGGAAAGATTGGACACAGAGGGATTAGCCCAGAGATGTGCGATCTTGCATCAGGCATTTCTGACCAACATGACCCTCCTTAAAATGAATCAGCAGCTTTATTTATGATCTTTTTCCAACAATTTTCTCAGCAAACAAAAATCAGATGTTGTCCAATAAGCAAAATGATGCTTTGTTCCCGATGTCAGGAATTTTGCATGCCACGAGAACAAACAACTGTTTTCATCTTCTTGTAATGTGTTGGTCCTTTTCATGGTTAAAGGTGCAGTGAGGAGTTTTTAGCTGGCTGAGAAACAGACTAAAATGTATATTGATGTCTCTGTTTGACCTAAGAAAGAAAACCAGATGAACAATGAAAGGACTGATTTCTTCAGTATTGTTATTTTGATGTCTTAGACAGTTGGTAAGCTCTTAAACAAATCAATAACTGGTGAGCTGGTGGACCTGTTTCGTTTTATATTTTCCATGGCAAAAAAAGGGGGAAAAAACTACACTGAGTGAGAAGTGACCCCTTGTACTCTACAGGGGGTGCCAAAATCAATAAAAACAAAAAGGACCTAACAGCAGCTTTAAGAAAAGTTCACCAGACTGTGTTTTTTACACACCTTCAAAGTTCCTGTGAGAAGTTTTTTGATGTTTATGAAATGGGCTGAAACTTATATTTATGTCTCTTTATGATGGACAAAAGCAAATGAGAGCCTTACAACAAAGATGACAAATTTTAATTAGCAGTTTTTAATGCCTCCGACCGGTGCAAGAAGGTAGATGTCAGCCAACAGCATTATTTTTAAAGTTTCCACATAAAGTATTAACAATGTTTGATGATACATTTGATTGTCAGAAGTCAACAGGATAAGATATTTTTGTCAGGATAAAGGACAAGATCAGCAAAGACTGATTTGTCCACAGGGGGTTGCCAAAATTTACACAAACTACAAGTCACTCAAGAAAAAGCTGGAATGAGTTTTTAAAGTTTTGTTTTGGGACTTTATGAGACAGAAAATATGGGGAGTAGAGAGCAGGAGAGGACATGCAGCAAAAGGTCATGGGCAAGAGTCAAACCAACAACCTCTCAGATGAGGACTAGCCTCTCCATATGTGTTGCTTTTGTGGTGGTTTTTGGCACACTGGAATTAGCATATTTGATTGATCGTAATCCATCTCCTTTGAGTGATTAATCAGTCAGTTAACCCAGCTTTATTATTTTAAGTCAAGTTCATCAGGGTTTAAGTTTAAAAAAATGTCTGAGTCGACGAGTAGGTGACCTCTCTGGATGTTGTAAGAATGTGTACAAGTGTGTGTGCATCTGCGTTTATCTGTCTTCTGCTTCTCTATTTGTATCCGTCAGTCTGTGTACATTCTCGACTTTTAACCTCTAAACACAGCTACAGAAACAGCTTCAGCTGACACTCTTTAAGACTCCCGGCTTCACTAGCTGGCTGTCAGACAGTCATCTCGAGTGTCTCCAGCTGCACAGACCTTCCAAGAGTGCATGTGTGTGTGTGCATGTGTTTGTAGCAGTAGCTCCACGTCAGCTACTGCAGCATGCAGCACTTCTTCTCCTTTTCTTCTTCTTCTTCTTCTTCTCTGGCCTGCTTCTTGTCTGTCTCACTCCAACTGATTTTTTCTGCACATGGAAGATTTATTCTGACTTCTCTCTGCAGCAGATTTGACATGCCAGAGGAGAGCCTGATAAGGGAAGAGAGAACAAATGGGGTTAATGCCTGCGTGGCTTTTTAGAGCTTGTTTTTCCTTCCTCATATAAGGCTTGGACTTGTTTTTAGGAAAGTTGCAGAACAGGCAATAAAGGCTTTCCTGCATCTAAGTGTTTTTTATCCAATGTAATGCAAACGCAAGGCAGTGGATGTCTTTTCCTAAGAGCCACATGCAGACAAGCTATCAGTAACACTTTCAACACTTTATCAAGAGGAGAGTTATATGCAGGCCGGGCTTGCCCTCAGTGTCTCATCATTCATGAGATGCCTTGGAAAATATATAGAAAGCGGTTGCTCCTTTCTGAAATCCTTCCCGTCTTTTTCCTGGAAAGCACAGAGGAACACACACACCTGCTTTTGCCATTGAAGAGATTGAGTCATAAGCTGCCAAAAAACACATTTAAACACTCTTTATTCTCTGGTATGTACAGTGGAACTCAAGAGAAGAGGACTGTGGTATTTCAGGATAAATCTAACAGGCTTCAGTGTCATGGAAGGAGAGCTGGTTGAGGATAAATACATGCTGCAACGGAATGATCCAAAACTCTATCTGAGGTTGCATACTAAACAGGATTGAAGATGGAAAATCATGAGCGTTGAGCAGCTGATTTTATCTCTGAATCTGCTTTATAAACGGCATGTCTGTAGAGGAGTGATATCACTCGGATAAACCAAGCCCACATCAAGTTATTATTAGCTTCATCTGCGGTTATCAGCGGCCAGAGCTGCAATCAATCATGTCAGAGCCGCTCTGTTATTTTCTGGCTGCTCTCCAGAAGCAGCGAGGCCTGAGGCTGTGAGAAACATGTGTGTGCCAGTCAAATTTATGACCAGTACCTTTATTTTAGACATATTTCATCATAGGCCTGTTCTCAACAAGTGTGACCCTCCTTCTGAAGTAGAAAGAGCACATACAAAAGTTTGATTTTACTTCTGCTCCCACTGCAGAGATGAAGGAGCAGCAGCTGCCAGCAGCGAGCTAGCTGTAGCAGCTCTCTGAGAGATGATGATGAGACTCTTTTTAAAGCTGACATCCCGAGAGTTGTCATAAATCCAAAAACAATGTTACAGTTTGTGCCTCTTCGGATGTCCCTCAGTTAATCATTTTTAACTGTTTCCATTCAGCTCTGTGACTAACAGTCCACCAGCAGAAGTACATTTCAAAATAAGATCATAGTTTTACCCTGCAGAGGAAAGAGTTTCCTGAGTGCATAATAGAATAACAGATATTTCTAGCCACAGTAGTCGTGAAGTAAACATTTGATATAATAACAACCCTATTTTATGAACTTTATCTATGTCTCCTGAAACAGGAACACTACATGCCTGCATGTTGTGATAGCTGTGTATAAAAAGGTCTTTCAAAAGAAAAACTGAAGTTATGTCTTCTCAGTTGCTTGATTATGTTGTTTTTGCAGTTTCATTTTTTAACCTCTGAAGTGTGAAAACAAGAGGAAGTGATCTAAATTCGTTGTTTCACCTGCATCGGTCGCTTCAGGACACTAACTTTCATTTTCGGCATAATAAAAGTGATCACACCTTAAGAGCAAACTATCTTAAAGTTCACTTTTAAGGTAATGTTTCAGTTCATGTCACATTTCTCATGTTTCACTCCCTGTTTTTTTGCGACAGAATTCTCTGAAGCCCACATTTTGACCCAGTACTCATTCATCTTCATCACCCCACTTTTCTGTCTGCCTTCAAAGTCCTCTAGTCTCACTTCTGGTGCTAATTTGTTCACATCTATCATCTCACTCGTCATCCTTCAGAGACAGACAAGGTTCAACAGGAGCCGAGGGTGACGGTAAGAGCGTGCACACTGCCAGGTACAACACTGAATCCACATGAGGAACTCTTTACAGGAATTAAAAGGTTCCAGCTCTGCATTCTTACCACATGCTTTCTCCTGCCAGAGCAGTAAAATTTAACAAGACTTTTTTTTTCTTCTTTATGAGGCTCTGACAGGGATATATGCATACATGTGAAGTCACCAGCCGGGCTTATTTGGGTTTACCAACATTTGAATTTCTGATTAGAAAGAGCCCGCGTGGTGCTCCTGTTAATTATTTGTGAGAAGCCACGTGGCGAAGCGCTTGGAAATCTCCTCGTGAGAACAAACTCTCCTCTTTGTGTTTGTTCGTCGCGGTAGGATGCTCGGCGTTAACTCGGCTGGCTGTTAAATGACAGCAGAGCCGGATCCATGTTTCCCCTCCTCGACAAACTCTTTTATGCCTCTGCCTCTCTGTTTCTTCAAGCTTTGAAAACGTCCTCCTGGGGTTTCGCTGATTGAAAGTCTGTTCGTCATTTCCTCTCGTCAAGTCTTCTTGGCGTTTAAATGTTACTGGATTGTTTGACTAAGTTTGACTGGATTGCTGTTCCTTCTCTCAAAAATGGAGAATGCCCAGGACACCTAAAACAATCAAGACCAGCCAATAAAAAAGCTATCAACGAGCAGAGCAAGAAGTCGTTGCATAAAGTGTTGTGAGCTGATGTAACAGGACACAGAAAGGCCTGTTCTGCAAACTTATACTGAAGCTTTAGCTGACATTTCACCCATTTTGTATCCCAGTATGGAAAAACTACTTAAAGTGCAGAATTTAGGAGCTGGCTTTGGGAATGGGAGCACAGATTCCTGGCGGGTCACCCGAGAACACTCCATCCTCTGGCAAAGATGCTCACTTTTAGATTTGGGGGCTTTTTTTTAAGAGTTTTGGTTTTTGTTTGTTTTCCCATAGTTCCCTGGACAGCCTTGGACATGGTTGTATGTATTGGCTGAGGCTCTTGGTTCAACAACACTAACGGATATGTTCTCATGTGCTTTTTCTGAGGAGGTTATTCGCAGGTTCAGTCTCACTTTGCTCTGAATGGATTTGCTGAATTTCCCAGGGTCATTTTACCGTCTCTGTGATTCTAAGTTGAGGTGATTGTTTCATCATTTTCTCAGTAAAAGCTCTTCAAAAATGTCTTTCACCCAAAAGCAGCCATTTTCGTGTCCATTTCAGGTCTAGACCATGATAGAAATCTCTCCGATGTACACCATGAGGAAGTGGTTACAGTTAAAATTGGACTCGAGCTGTGAATTAAACTAAGAGTGATCAAACCGGAAACTTACTCAAAGCTAAAAGCAGAATACAAGAGAATAACTGTGCTGAACTCAGCTCATCGGAAAAATTGTTGAAAACGTCCAGAGTTAGCCCAAGTTTGGCTTGTGAAGAGCTGGTTTAATGAACAGAAGAAGAAGGAGCTCTGGATGCGTTTTTAATTGAACAAAGCAAACTTTCTATCTGTTGGTTTTTGCAGCTCGCCAGCGCAGAGGCGATGAAGTCAGAGGTTTGGACAGCTGGGCCTCGTAGGGAGAGGGGAGGATGTGGCGAGATTAGAAGAACCTGATTAACAGAAAACAAGCTGGTGGAAGAAGGATCTCCCTCAATCTATTCATTTCCGTCACTTATCCCTCTTTTTCTCTCGTGTCTTCATCCCCCTTCCACAGACAGAGACTCTTCTTCCTCTTTCTTGTTTTCATTCAGGGAGAAAAAAGCACCGTGGAGCTGTGTGTGGGTGTTTTCCTTGGTGCGTACATCGACTGTATCATCAAACAAAACTCAAATGAAGAACAGAGAACTCTTGTTTGTCTTTTCGTAAAGTTGTCTCAAACTGCAGGTTTTCTGGAAAGTCAACAGGAGTGTGAAGTTTTTACGTGCTTTTCGTGAAGCTGTGATTCTTTAGCTCCTCATCCCTCTGAAGGCTTTTGTTTTCATGATGTGTGATGATTGGCACCGTCAAATATGTCTTTCTCATCTAACATCAGTATTACGGTAAATGCTTCAGGGAAAAGTTTGTAGTTAGAAGTTCACTGAAGTGAATGTGGATGAAGAGGTCAGTCACAGGGAGAGTGAAGTTTATTTTGAAAATCATACTTAAAGGGGTGGCGTATAGATTTAGTGGCAGAATAGATAAGTATGTTTAAATTAATGTGTAATCACCTGAGTTCTGTTAGCTGGGAATGAACCCTGAGCAACAGGTCCTCTTTCACACAGGTCACCATGTTTCATCAGTTTACGTGTTCACAACAGTCTGTCTTCTCAGCTGCCGATCGATTAAGAAGCAACAAAATTCAAACATTCAAATCACAGCCACCTGAGCGTTACAGCTGAGGAACATGGCTGTCATATGAGTATGGCTGGTCCCCAAAGTGAACTTTTAAACTTCACACTCTGCTTCACCCCAGATGTGACAGATCCACTGACAAAGAGTCATGAGTCAACCTGAAATTCACTCAGAGTACGATCCTGCATCGTCCCCCCCCAAAAAAAAAACAAAAAAAAACTGTTGCACAGTGTCTGGGGAGGCCACCTGATGAGAGAGTGACTAATGCTGACTGGACAGCAGTCTCAATATGGGGCAGCACGGGGCAACCAGATGTGTGTGTGTGTGTGTGTGTGTGTGTGTGTGTGTGTGTGTGTGTGTGTGTGTGTGTGTGTGTGTGTGTGAAGGCTAGCATCACTGATTGTTCCACAGACACACACACACACTCACACTCACATTCACACACTGCTTGACTTCCTAATAAGTTACTTTTAGACATTTTATGAGACTTTAAAACCAGGACACGCAGGCATTTGATCCTGCTTTTGAACTGAGAACAAAGTGCTGACTACGTCGTCATTAGTCTCACACACACACACACACACATGCATGCACGCACGCACACACGCACGCACGCACGCACGCACGCACGCACACACACACACACACACACACACACACACAGCTGGCTCATTCAGTTTAAAGCTCCTACAAGAAGTTTTTCCAAATTTGTCTTATATTCATACTGATGCCGTCACATAATACCCAAAAGCAAAGAGGACCATCATAAGCAACACTGAAAGTTTTTATATCAGAATTTTTAATGCTTAACACTGGTGCGTGGGCCAGGTGTTGGCCAAACAGACGTTTTTATGATTTGAGTGTCAAAAGTCAAAATGAGGAGTTTGTTTTGGTTAAAAGACGCTATTTAAGCATGTAAAGACAACACAAGTGAAAACTGCTCTGAGACAAACTGAAAGTTCCCACAGGAGCTTTAAAGACCACCAACAAATCATACTTGCAAAGTTGCACCTTGGGAAAAAATATTAACTTCCTCATTTCTATACATTTGCCCAGACTTTCAGCGTCTTAATTTTCCATCCATCCATTTTCTACCCCGCATTCTGGTTCCCAGGGGGGCTGGAGCCTATCCCAGCATCTTCAGGCGAAGGCAGGGGACACCCTGGACAAGTCGCCAGTTCATCGCAGGGCTGACATATGGAGATGAACAACCATTCACACTCACATTCACACCTATGGGCAAGTTGGGAATGGCCAAATAACCTAACCCCACTTAGGCATGTTTTTTGGGGATGTGGGAGGAAACTGGAGTAAACCCACGCAGACACAGGGAGAACATGCAAACTCCACTCAGAAACGCCCTGACCCGGATTCGAACCCAGGACCGCCTTGATGTGAGGTGACAGTGCTAACCACTACACCACTGTACCGCCCTGTCTTAATTTCACACCTCAACTTTCACATCTGCTGACGGTAACTTAACTTGAAAAATGTCACAAGTAGTTTGAGGACATTTTTTTGCGTGATGTGAAAGGTGTTTTTTCTTTTCTTCCATTGTTTCTGGGACTTTGACCTTCTCTCAGGAAACGTTGAACTTTAAACCTTTAAATCTTGCACAGGGGCACTTCCAGGGATTTCATAAATCTCATATCTGGCCCTATCATTTCATTGTCACAAACCTTTCTGTTTTTAGCGCCCTCGCTGGTCATGAACCCCGACTTTTCCTTCCCATGTCGCACCCTTGATAAATACGCTTCTAGTTTGAACTTTCCACCGCTGACTGACTCTGCGTCACATCTGCTCACATTCTTGGCCATATTTATCACACGTTACTCTCTGACTCAGATGCACAAGAGAACACAGAAAGCTATAGATAATGGTGAATGCTGTTCTCAGTATTTTTAGGCTGGAGTTTAAGTTTGCTCTTTGGGGTTTAGTGGTTAAAAATGTTCAGGTCGGGCCATGAATACAGAAGAGGAAATTGCTTAAGCAAAAGCATGAAAATGTTGAAGGGAAGTTTGGTTTTGTCGTTTTTCCGTTACAGACAAAATAACTGTTGAAGACGTGCAGTATTGTGTCTTCTTCAGTCTGCCTGTCAGATGGTAAACATGTGAAATTAGTGAGAAGACACACTGGTGAGGCCAGCCACAACTCAGTGGAGGAAGTTCAACAAATAACAGTTTGGGATTGATGTTTGTGAGGAAATTTGATTTAACGGATCCTCAGAAGTACTGCCCTGTAGAGTCACTGATGCTCTTTATCCTGGACTCTGTTCAACAAACACTGAAGGTTTCCAAATTCTTAAAAGATGACGACTCACAAATCAAGAGCATGGCTGTTAATCCAGGAGCTAAAATGAAGAGATGCTCAGCACATTTGCTTTTCTGCAAATAATCCTCAACTTCAAGTTTGTTATTTTCCAGATGATTCTCTTTTTCTTTCATTTTGAATCCTTATTTGTCTTTTTAAATGTTGCAACCGTAAAAAAAATTCTTTACAAACCTGTTTAAAGCCATCACTCTGTAATACTACATTTCCCATCAGCCCTGTGGAGTGGAAACTGGTCCTTATGTTGTGTTTGCACAAGATGGGAATAGAAGAATTCATGTCAGTAAATTACATTTAAATTTATTGTATTGTTATTTATTGTAATAGTCAGACAGATATCGCTCTAAATTGAAATTCTTATAGCCGAACCGACATATTAAGATGATGTGATAATGTCGATCAAGTTTTTGTTCCTGGTGTACGACTCAATCAGATGGAAACTAGCCTAAGCATTCAGTTGTCATACACCAGACTTTGACTTTGAGTTGTTAGAAAGACAGGCAGAAAGTAAAACCTTGACTGATGTAGAAAGAACACAAACAAGACAAAACTATCATATTGTACAAACACTACAAAGCTGTAAAGGTGATAGCATTTTTATTGCTTGGTTTGCATCTTGTTTGCCACTTGCTAACACATTTTGCCGATTGTGTTGGTGCATAACCATAGCCTGTATATTCTATGGTCAACTTGGCTCTGCCTTCCACCAGTATACAGATCTGAAGCCAAAAAGCTCTCGGTATTTCTGGGTTTTTTCTCCACTTCCTGAAACCAACATCACGCGGTAGCGTTGTACGCAATCGACCACTTGTATGCATTTCGCGGAAAAGTCGCTGAAAATCACTGTGATGACGCACTGCTCAAACAGCATTTCCCCCGGGTGAGCTACACAATCTTTGTACATCCATAGGCTGTATCAAGTGTCAATCATAGAAAACATGAACCTCCTCATAACATTTTAAAAATGGAGCTGTACAGAAAAAAAGAGGACTTGAGCACATACTAGTCTTACAGTAACTACATGTCAACATCGTAACCAGGAGGGAGAATAATTTATATTCTGTGTAATTAATTTCTAAAGTTTGTCCACAGCTCTATAGGGATTGCTGGAGAAGGCGGGATTTATGACCTATACTGCAGCCCGTCACCACAGTGTGCTTCACACAACGAGGAGGCAGACGGCGTCCATTATATGCTATCTACAGTCTACGTGCGTAACGGAATAAGCAACCAAGCTGAGAGGAAGCAGGGTGCCACCTACTGCAAACAGATGCTTCTGTCAATAATCTGATTCTCGCCCGGTGTTAATAAACTAGATCAGGAAGAGTAATCCAGTCAAATGTTACCTGCTCCTAACAGTTTAAAAATCAGAACTTCAGAAAATCCCTTGCGCCTCAGCAGTCAATCAACATGTAAACCCATTGGGGCATATGTCAAGAAAAAACCAGTGGACATGGTGTGCAGCTACTCTGCGCTTCACAATACGATTATTTCTGTCTTAAAAGTGTTAAAAAAGCAGCTCGCTTAGAGGAAAGAGAGTGAGAAGGTTGTGAAGACAGTAAATTTGGGCAATGGAGTCAACACAGGAAACCTCTCCCCTCATCATGTGTTAATCTTTGGGCGCTCATGTTCATGCAGTATAATGTGAAAATAGCGCGAGTTTATTGCACCAATAAAGAGAGTAAGCAACTGATGTACTGATGTGTTCAAATCTGCACAAATTCAGGGAGAAATGTGTAAAGTCAAGATGACGTAAATCTACTGTCAACAAACATCCAACAGAGTTTACAAACTCAAGTGGGTGTTTTTCCAAATGTTATAACTTTATATCAGCTTGATTTATGAACAATTTGCTATTAGCCAACAAGTTAATCAAATGAATTAAGCAAATGCAGTTACAGTGGAGTAAAAGCAACCCCATTAACATTAAAAATATACTGTACATATATATATTAAAGTTGGTGTCAAAATAAAACTGTAATACTATACAACATTTATACAATAGTTTGAAATATTCCAGTACTCTTTAACACAATAATATTACCCACAATCCTCACAGCATTCAAGTCTTTTTCACAGTCATAATGCCATGTTGTACAATTTTCCGGTTCATGTGCAGATCTCAGTTCCTTCGCACCGTCTCAGGTTCACTCTGTCTGATTCCTGCTGATTTGCTGAATCATTGTCAAAGTGTTAAAGCAAATGGCATCATTGTTAGAGGACGTCACAGTGTTCGTATCAGCTTTCACACTCTCTGAGGTTTGGGACGCTGTAAACAAAAGTCTGTTTCTCAAGCCCTCTGCTGCTCAGAGGTGCTCCTGTCCCCAAACCCCACAGCTGTCCTTAGAAGTCTTCTTCATAGTCGATGTGTCCATGGCTGGTCTCAGGGAGTGCGTACACTGATTTGCTCTTTTTCTTCCTGCTCTCTGCTCTGGTCTGTGCAGACTGCTGACTCCCTGAGAAGGACAGGTAGGCAGCGATGCTGTTCCTGACGCCGTAGCTCACCATGTTGTCACTGCAGTTGTCTGTGCTGACCAGCTGACTCCTGTTTGAGGAGGAGGCGAGACAAAAAGGGAAAGTGAGTGTTTTGGTCATCTACATGAATGTTTCTCTAACATAACAATTCATCTCAGAACACGCCAATAGAAAGAAAAGAGTAACACTTCACAACAAGGGTCAAAAATCTAAGGGCCCGTGCCCACTGATAGCATTCATAACCTCTATTTCCACCGCTTACTTTTGCAGAAGCACTCAAGTCTCAAGTCTGTTTTAAAGGTACACTGTGAAGGAATGGGCAGCAAACACCGCCATTTGAAGTTTTTAACTCATGTTGCTGACTAAATGCAACTAACAATTGCACACTGAGCTTCTTTATTGCTCTACATGTTAAGAAAATTAAGTTACCCTTATTATCTGCATCTTTGAGTGAATCTTTGAGTGAATCAGACAGAGCTTCATGATTTTATGAGAGGAGGCTGACTCATTTGAGGAGTACTAGACAAATTTGGAGGTTTTTAAAAGGTCAAGTCAGTGCTGGGTGTGAATTTATCAAAGCAAAGCAAAGTTTTTTATTGGTTTGTTATTTTAAGGCAGCGGAAATTCATGTTACAATCCTTATGATTTAATGCATATCTGATCCTAAAATATGTTGACTGTTTCTGCATTAAGCCTGACTTTTCTTGTTTTCTTTATCTAAATCGAGTTCATTTGGACCCTGGATAACTGTTCAAAATAATTTTCACTATTTTCAAACTTTTTATTTGCTAAGTGACTAAGCTAGCTGTAGTGAAAAATAAGTGTCATCAACTAATGCTCCCTCTGCCACAGTTACCACACTGTCATGCTTGCCGACCTCAGCCTCTGTCATCATACCTGTCTACTTTCTTCCAGTCAAAGTTGTGCCTCATGACTACAGGTGGAGCTGCGTGAGATACATCTGCCGGGGTGGTGGAGCCGGACAGACACGGGGAGGTTAATACGCAGCATAGGCCATCTGCACAATCTGAGGAAAAACCCATGAAGTAAGGTTAGAGGAAGTTAAATCACAAAATTAAACACCAAACACATTAAGTTGCATAATTTGCATACTGCCCAGGCAAATATAAAACACATACTGATGAAGCAGTTTGGATGATTCATGTTAAAGAAGAACAACAACACTTCTGCTACTGTGAACGCACCAGTGGTCATTGTCAAGCACGCAGAGTCTATCTCATTTCCTGTTTTGTACCAAAAACATTCAGAGGGGGCAGGAAATATAAAAAAAAAAGAGTCAAACTCTGATAAGAGAAGCTTCTATTATAAGCACGAGCAGAGTATTCTCACTGCTTAAGTAGGTCTCTGTATGTATGCTTTCTGTTTTGCTCTGTAGAGAGACATTAGTTCCCTTTTTGTTTTTGGGTTTCATGTTTGTGAGCCTTTGTGTGTCTACCAACCAGAGTAGTGGTTGATGAGGTCTTCCAGGCACTGGAAAGTGAGTCGAGGGGAAATGTAGTACCAGCTGTTATCCAGTCTGAAGATCCGATAGTGCTTTATGATCCTGTGCTTCACTGACAGTGAATACAGACCTGAGGACACCACAAACACAAACGCACAGATTTAATACAAAGTTTTTAATTGTGACACCAGGCCTCTCTGTTCCAGTTCAGCACCAAAATAGTCATGGGTCATTTTTTCCAAACCTAAAAAAACTGATCTGACTTGCACAGAAAGAGTGACATGGATAAAAAAGAAAAGTTAAAGACCAACATGTGACCAGACATTGTTTGTCACGGGAAAAACCACTTTCCAGTAATTCCTCTTCCACATGTTTATAAAAACAAGTTTAGGAAAATGCTTCGTCATTGTTTTGCTGGCAGTTGGAGGACAATCACACCATTGTTTTAACTTGTTTCTGAGAGCTTGGAGTGTTTTTGTTCAAGATTTTTCTTACAGAATTTTTTCTCCTCAGTGCAAAATTATCCAGCCCCAAAAACGGTCATAAGAGAGCAAGAAAGGGCTAGAGAGGCTGTCATTGTGCCAGAGCTGTGAAACTACTGGCTGCAAGTGTGCACAGTACAATTTAAACAATTCAGCAAAAGACCAGGGACCTAAACTTCCACACAAGTTCAATGTCTCACTGTTACCTTTGGCTTATCTGACTTATCTGACTGACTAACCCTGAGAAAATCATGCCAAACAGTCCCACAAAGCTGGTTTTCAACCCAGAGTAACATGATATCTAGACTAGAATCAACACAACCATGTCTGCAAAATGAAGGATTAACTATCAGATGAGTAAAACTTCTAGGATGAGTGTGTTAAATTTCACTTTTTCATCATTAGTGCGCAAAAGGTCTGACTACAATAACTCCTGTTTCCCCTCTGAGACTGACTCAGACTTATCTGTACATGTGTTTAGACATTTTTAGACTATCATCACAAACATTCAGCTGCAGCTCTGATGTTGATATGGAGGTAACACGAATGTTTAAAGAAAAATGATTTAAAGTGATAATCGCACGTCCATTACTATCTGACTTTTCTAATTTTAACCTGTTTCAGGGAAGTGAAATCAGTAACTTTGAGTCATATGGAGAATTATACAGATAATGAGATCATCCTGTTGTATTAAGTTAAGTTTCGAGTAACTGTGATGAGAGGTGAACCAACTCTGAATTAACTCGATTGACCAGGAATCAAATCACAAAAAATAAAATGTACTGCCAGGAGTAACAGGTTGATATTATTTGTGCACTTGATGTAATGTTGTGTCACAGCATGGCATGCATTCAAAATTTGATTTAATATCAGGGATAATACAAGCATATTAGACCATTTGGGTCGCAGAGTTGAGATATTTTAAAAACCTTGGCCGCTTCAACCACACTAAAAATGTTCAAAATTACTTCCTGCGTGATTAAATTTCATCTTCTTATTACTAATTTGTATCAGACTGAATCTAGCCTGTCATCTTCCTCTTAACGCCATCCTGATCTCATCTATGGCACATGGGTACTTGGTGAAAAGCAGCATATTCAGACACTCTTCAAAGGCGGAAAAAGTCAGCCGAGCTTAAAGCGGTAACATCAGACTTTGCTGTGTCTAAACATCCTCACCTCTCTCTCTTGTGCTTTCCCGCACCAGGAATGATCCAACTCTGTTCACAGGTAGGCACAGCAGCTCCTCGGCCTTCTGCCTCTCCACGCCTTCAAAAAGCCACCTAACAACAACAACAACAACAAAAAACACTGAGTAATACCACAAACTTGCTTGTCCATTAACTGTGGTACTTATATCTGAGTCAAAATGGGGTTAAAACGACTTGAAATCAACACAAAAAGCTGTGATGCAAAAATCTCGTGAAACTGAGATCTTTCGTAAATGTTACCAGGAAAGAGTAATCTTAGAAGAAAAGAAAAACTGACATTGAAAGATTACGACCAAACATACCACACAGATCAACCCCACACATGAGCTTTATTTGGACTTACCCATGGTAAACTCTAGCCACATGGCTGTTTGGTATGTAGTTCTCCTTTCCAGATTGCAGAGAGCGGACTCGCCACCAATAAGCTTCCCTGATCACCCAGAAAAAACAAAAGAGGAATTAACGACTGTCTGACCTTTAACTCTGACCACTTCTCTAAAACTGAACAGAATCAGCACAAAGTTGCAAAAGATCCTTTTTTAAAACCTTTTTCTTTATAATTTATTTCCTCATCGATTTTGACCGACTATTTGTTCATTTTTCAACAAAGAATGAAGAAATGTGAAACGTACTGAGCGACCATTTTGAGTTTCTCTCCCATCCTGAAGATGGGCTCGCTGATGTCAGGAGACGGGTAGTCCTGAAGGGTCACCAATATGTCATCCTCCACACCTGACCGATATAAAAAAAAATTAAAAAAAACATTTAAAAATCCGGATTTGCAAATGTCATCTTAACATCAACCCAGAATCAGTGGCATATCAGACACCATTAGCTGTGTATTTTTGAAACTCAATATCTGGCAAACTCAAAGTCATTGTGTTTAGGTGTACATGTCATGGATTATATACATTTCTAAAAAGTTCACCTCAAACAAAAGCCGTATTTTGAAATCCATCGTAAAGCTTACCCTTTAGAGAGCTTTCATGGTTGCCTGTGCTGGTCTTCTGTCTGACACCTCTCACCATGTTCCCCATCCTCCACATGGACAGACTCCGGCCTGAAGGGACATACACTGTGAATGCACTCTTCAAATCCCCTTGTTTTTGACCCACGTACCACCTGCTCTTCTTCACAACTTTGAACGTCTCTCTGCTACTTCACAACTCAGTCTGCAACTTCCTACAAGCTGACCATTGAACAATCTGCAGAATGGGGAAGCTGAGGAAAGATGCTATCGGCCTCAATTTTCCATTGCCCCGTTTACTGGTAGCTCGGTGACACTGAATATTAAATGCTTGCCATGATTGCAACACCAGAGAACCCACTTCAGATGATGATTAATTTCAGATTGCATGCATTTCAGCACATCCTGTGTGCGACATTTTTTAGTTGCATCACATTTGATGGAGAAAGACTAGCTCGGTCAATGAGGAAAGTACGAGCAGGAGGTGGTGAAAGCTGTACAGTGAACGGTAATACTCACCTTTAGGACCTGTTGCTCCTCCACTGTGAGGGAATCAGGTGTTGTGAGCCAGATGACGGCCCGGCATAGTGGCTGCAGCAGCAGCAGGGTCCAGTACTAGAAAAGCACCATGTTGACAAGGTTCCACAGCAGTATATGACCTGTCACTGAGAGTGGCGACAGGGCTGCTTCACACTGCACACTCACTTCCTGTAATGAAATGAGGAAGAAGGACAGAGTCAGTGCTGGTAACACACAAGCACACACAGTCCTCTAGTGAGCAAGAGTGACAGAAAACTCACTCTGACGTTTCTTTGTGTCAGTTTTCCCCCCCGTTAAAAAAATTCATGTGACATGCCTGTAACTGGCATGTGGCTCGTCGTGGTATTCATATGTCATAAATGCTCCACTTTGTTTTCTGTTATGGTAAGGATGGAAAGACTTGTAAGAGAGATGACAGCTGAATGAATTAGTCAGTTAGTCCATGGACAGAAAAGTTCCTAACTCTCTCGATAATCTGATTACTTGTGTCATTTATCCAACAGAAATTATACCATCTTCCAAGAATAATTCAACACTGACTCAATGTTTATTAATCTAAAGCAACCGATTAGAAGTTCTGAACTTCTCATTGGGTGACTTCTTTTTATCACATCTAAAAATAAACAAGACCCTCAGCGACAAGATGGACTACTTTTATAGTGTCATTTCTAACACCTGAATTTGGTGCGAGGGGGTAGGTGTCACCATCAAATATTCACACTAAATGCGACTGAAAAGTCAGCAGGATGTCAAAAGAAAGGCAGCACGGTGGTGCAGCCAGTAGTGCACGTGCTTCACAGCAAAGAGGTCACCAATTTGATCCCCAGGTCAGGCAGGGCCTTTCTGTGTGAAGTTTGCATGTTCTTCCTTCAATTGATTGGTGACTCTAAACTGTCCTTTGGTATGAGTGTGAGTGTGACTGGTTGTCTGTCTTTCTATGTGGCCCTGCAATTGACTGGTGACCGATTCAGGATGTACCCAGCCTCTCGCCGGAGCTGGGATCGGCTTCAGCCCACCATGACCCCGAAAGGTATAAGTGGTATAGAAAGTGGATGGGTGAAGGATGGATGGATGTCAGAAGACTACCTGTGCACAAGGAGACATGATAAGCAATGACTTCTTTGTCCACAGGGGGCGCCACATTTGACAAAAGGCAAAAGTTTCTCACAGGAGCTTTAAATCTTGCACTGTTTGGTTTGTTGCTGGTCTGCTTCTATCATTTATGGCAGTAGCTCATAAGGTAGAACAGTCATTCAATAACCAAAAGGTTGGCGGTTCGATTCCTCCTTTTCCCAAGTCTGTCTGTTGTGTCCTTGGGCAAGACACTTAACCCACCTCGCTCCCAGTGTCTGTCCTCCACTGGTGTATGATTGTGAGTGTTGTGTGGTGGCAGTCAGAGAGACCGTAGGTGAAAAACTGGCAGCCATGTTTCCGTCAGTCTGCCCCAGGGCAGCTGTGACTACTAAGGTAGTGTTGTGTTTTAGAGTGTGACTGTGTGAGTGAATGAATGATGCATCCAATGTAAAGCTCTTTGAGGGTCACTGATAAAGCGCTATATGAAATCTGATGCATGATTAATATTTATTATTACCAGAGTTGCATGCTCAAACGTGGCCCTCACAGTGCAGATCAATCACTGTGAAGTGTGGTGGGTGGTGGAAGCAAACTGTGAAAGCCACAGTGTGATATCAACAAATGTTCATGCAAACTGACATACCCTCAAACGTTTTTCCTTACTTGTCCGCTGGTATTTCTATTTTTAACCTGTTTCATGTCACTCCTACGGGTCCCACCAGCACTAATATCATCAGCTCTCTCACAGTGAGGGTTCCCCTGCGGTCTCACATTAGCTCTCACCGACTGGAAAAATCCAGACCAAAGTCAGGGTGAGAATTTTGCCTGTTTGTGGTCACACGTGTAGCCCACTCAGAAATTTTGGGGACGGTTTTTATTAGTCTTTTGGAAATTGATACTGTCTCCTTGTTTATGTTGATGCAGGTCATCTTGCAAATGTAACACACTTTTTCTCTCCCACAATCCACTGCAGCACATATGCTGAACTATATAAAGTCTTAGATATTTAGAAACCTCATTACTCATGTAAAACTTTCATTCACATCCCAGCAATTAGTGGTTGTGCACATGGGTATGTAACATGCCAGCCATTTGTGTTACAAAAACATAATCCCTCTTTCCATCACTCACAACCACATGATTAAAAATAGATGTAAATACAAATAAAAAGTAAAAATAGATATGATTTCTTAGAAGTGTGTTCAAGCGCTTTACATATCCTGTAAAGTTGTTTTTAGTCAGCCAACAGGAAGTATGCATTTAACCAGCTTTCATGGTAAGTGGGGCACAAAGAGACTATGACGACTGTGGTTTACGAGAAGTGTTCAAGTGATATATTGGGTGAATTCAAAAGAAAAGTTCAGTGGCATGAAGATCTGACTAGAGCAGATTCAGTGCATTTACTATTAACAGTATGCATTTATGTTTTACTTTCCCTTACATTCAGATAACACTAAAAAGAATCCTGCAACCATGAAGAGTGACTCATGAATCTACCTCTGCAAAGAGGATGACGGAAATATATTTTTTATCTGTGTTTGTTTTTTGATCTGGTATCTGAGAGTGTCTGGAGTTGCATCATTGAGGTTATTTGTGGAAACCTAAAAGCAGTGGGTTCCAGATCAGTTTGGACTGACCCAGTTTGGACACCACAGTCTGTGTGAAAGTGTCTATCTAAGATGGCTCTGATAAATCATTTTCCATGATATGAGCTTCGTGTTGCATGGCAGCTGACAAACAGCTGCAGATTGGAATGATTTTTCGAAGATCTCCTTAAACGTTAATTCCTCAGAGCTTTTTTTTTTTTTACCTTTCACTTTTTATCTCCCAGCTGACATAACTTTTATTCTGCATCAACAAAGTTCATGTGAACTAATGAAGCTGAACCTTCTCCCCTGAGCCTCACTTTATTTTCTACTCAGCTCATTTTCACCCCACATTAAAATTTGTACTGACCTGATCCAGACCTTAAGGCCTTTTTCCTCTGCCACCTCTGAATGCAGATGCAAAATAAAATGGTTGCAGAGCAAAAAGTCAGCCTTTTTTTGTAAACTTACCTTTAAAACATTTGGAAAGTTTCAAACCAAATAAAGATGTCTTTCATTTTGCAAAATCTGCACATCTGCTTTGTAATATTCTGGCATTATTTGAGGGCAGACAACACAGAGCAGGCTTCCTGTTCTGTATGAGTGGAAAAGTCTCTTAGAGGGAAATATTCCTGGAAGGAAATGCTTAGGAGGAGTCAAACATCACCTCGTGTCCACCCTGGGGTGAAGCTGAGCAGCATTTTAGGCTCAAACTGAAGAGTCTCGCTGCAGCTCGGTGGGTGGAGATGCCAGGCTGTGGCTGCAAAGAGGAGAGGAAGTCTTCATCAGCTTTAGACGAAAATAAATACAAGGTCATCACGTAGCTTGTGGTAGTTTGTGGTGAAGGGTGTGAAAAGCTTTTTGCTTGCATGTCAGCTATCGAGTTTGCAACCATCCTGCGGCCAGTATTACTCATTTAAATGAAATTAAAACATAGATTTTATCGTAATTCTGTGATAAATGGAATGATTACAACTTCTGTGCCTCGTTAGACTTGACAAGATCTGTCCAAGATCTAAGTTTTTTTGGTCAGCTTCTTCCAAAAAAAAATATACATATAAAAAAAATATATATATATAAAAAAAAAATATATATATACATACTGTATATATATATAGCTAAGTATATACATACATACATATATATACATATATACATGTATAGGTAAATAAATAGGTAAATATAAGGAAAGGCTCCTCAATTAACAATATACTAGAAATAGTTTCCCTCAAAATAAAAGCACATTTTTTCAGTACCGAAAAAAGACAGAAAAAAACTAACAAAATAAAAGCATGAAAAACAATTGTTTTATTTGATAATGTCTTCTCTTGCACCAAGTTTGGGTTACAGGTTTGGTGATGTGGATAATTTATACATTTAAGCATCATTACAAACGGTTATTGATATGTACATATTCCACAATTTTACTGATTGTGTTGTTTTATTTTCATTAATATTAATATTGTGATATCTTTTGGCTACAATATTGAAAACTTATGTCATTGCATCGCTAACTGAGGCATTCAGGGCTGTTATACTTCTCCTCTGGATCATTTTCCTCCTTGACAACGCTGCTCTCTCCTTGTGTTTTTTCTCCTCAGGATCAGGCTCCTGTCACTGACAGCACCAGGGCCATGTGTGTCTTTGAATGAGTCACTATTATAACACAAAACAGGTGAAGCTCAGACTGTGTGGCCGTCACTGCTGGCCTTCAGCTCAATGGATCCTTTGTTACACTGGGATTGCAAATCTGTTCCTGAAGTGGTAAATGTAAATGACCTTTTTTTCAAAGATTGGATTAGACAGGTGTTTATTTGCCCAAGTTCATAAATAACATCTTTTAGAGGAAGGAGTAGCCAGGAAAAAGGAAGGAAATAAAACATAAGTGGGCGCTGAGCTGCCACACCACTACCTTTCGGGATAAAACCATAAATTAAAGCATCCTTCTCTGGGTGCATGTGCATGTTTTGATGCTCTGTAAAAGCAGTGCAGCAGGTGTTTGCAGGTGTTGCTTTGTCAAAGCTAAAATTTATCTGTCACAGACTTTCCTCACACAGATACCTGCTGCTGAAAACTTTATGATTGATGCCAAGAGCATGTCCATCACACATGTTGCGTGGATTAGGCTCCACCTTTGAAGATTTTCGCTGATCTGTAAGCACTTTCTCCCAGCCAACACACTCTCTCTCTGCTCTTTATGCAGACAGATGCTCTCTACTTCTTGAGGTGGCTCACCAACTTCCAGTGGCTTCTGTGTGTAGGAGGTTACATGTGTTTGAACTTTTTCAAGGAGAAGTGACTTCCACGCCCTCAGTCTTAAATTACAAAATTACTGACTGTGAGGAATTCCCATCATAATTTATTTGGTCTGCATGTCGAAATCAAGAGGCGTTCATGTGGCTTTAAGGATCTTTGGCACAGAAAGAAAACAAGAAGTGACTGTAGTTCAAATAAAGCTTTCCTCAGTTCCTCTTTTCCTAAAAACAATACACATTCCACATGCTGAGACGCTGCAGTTTAGCCTCACGTGGTGGTTTTCTTCTCTTACTGTAATAAGCAGGATCTAAATACAGGCGCAGGGCTGACCAA